TTAATCTACACGAAGAGTTGTGGCTCGAGCTCGGGTTCGGGGTCGAATTCGCTGAATCCGATTTTGGGAATCGAACGGAAAACAAGCAAATTGATTCTATACAACCCGGGCAGTGCTACGGAGGGTGGTGGGGGGAATGGCGCGTCGTTGGAACTCGATAAGGTAACTTTTTCGGTTCTGTTGGGTATTTTTTTTTGGTTTGAGGGTTCTTGCGGGAACGTCGAACCCGGAATTCGGGTAGTTTGGGTAGTTTGAGGGGGTAAATTGTCACTGCGGTGGGTGCACCGTAGCCGGGTGTGTTAGGATGGTGCAGGTGATAAGCGAGTGATAAGTGATAGTGATAAGGGTGATATTTGGTGATAAACAGTAACTTATGATAACAGTAATAGTAATTGCAGAGTATATTCATAAGCGATACAATGATACGGAGGGATCTACGTGACAGCGGGGTGGCAATATGCTCGCAGAATATCAGTGCGCAGTTTAGTGATAATTTCGACTTCCAATTCCGAGATGACGTCATTCGGGAGATTATTTTAAATGAGGAGATTTTGGGATTGCATATTCATGTGGACGTGTTGCCGGATAGTGTGGCTGCGTTCACGGTTAGGTGAGGTTATTTATTGTTATTATTATTTATTATTATTTATTATTATTGTTATTTATTATTATTTGTTGTTATTATTGTTTATTTTTATTATATATTGTTATTGTGTTTATTATTTATTGTTGTTATTGTATTTGGTATTGTTATTGTTTTATTGTTGGTGTTGTTGTGGCTTAGGCTTTTTTTGTTGATTTGTTAAAGGTAAGGATGGGAGGGGGGAGTGTTTGGTGGATGTTTTGGGTTTGGGTTGATTTCAGGTTGTTAAAAATTAGGTCGTAATTGGTTTCAGGTTGTCAAAAATTAGGTCGTGGTTGATTCCAGGTTGTTAAAAATTAGGTCGTGATTGATTTCAGGTTGCTGAAAATTAGGTCATAGTTGATTCCAGGTTATTGAAAAATTGACTTATTTTTGTGAATATTTGTCGTTGTTGTTATTTATTATTGTTTTATTGTATTTAATAATATTTTTTGATATTCAGGGATTACGAAGGGTTGATACGAGCGAATCGTCTGATATTGCAACGATGGTTGACGCCACTTTTACCGGGGCGTGCGGGGTTGGAGGGGGGACAC